TCTCTTCTATATATACTGGCCATAAACCCACTGATTCAGACAATTAATCAAAATATTAAAGGCATTCAAATCAATAACTCAGCATTCAAGATAGTAGCCTATGCTAACGATCTTTCAGTAGGAATCAGCTCTCCATCTAACTGGTCCAAACTTTTAGAAATACTAGCAAAATATGAAAAAGCTTCGAATGCTATTATTAATAAGGTGAAATCTACTTTAATACCATTAACAAATATTGCCTGAAGAGTTGAATTACTCAACCAGGATAGGTTTAAGCTCTCTAGCAAAGACCAAAATAGCTTCACTATTTTGGGCTACACTGTGGACATAGAAGGTCATCCAGCAAAAATTCTCTGGTTCGAAATGACAAAACGAATCAAAAACAGAATACAAGATCTCGTACTAAGAAATCTCTCATTCAAGGAAAAAATCCTAGTATCCAAAACACTTTTTATTTCCAAAATATGGTACTTGGCCTACTTATTGCCATCTACAAGAAAACAATTAAATGAAATTAATACTCTAATTACTAACTGGATAAAAAAAAACTCAAGAATATTACCACAGTACTCAACCTTTCAACTTAGTATTGAACAAGGAGAGCTAGCTGCCCGATTCTTAAAAATATGCTTGACGCTAGGCTATTGTCAATATGGATCAAACTCCTCTCAAGCAATACCTTTTGGGCCAGAACAGAAAGAGAAAAGGTAACAATAAGGCTTCAGAATAAAAGAAAACTATCACCGGAAGAAGCATTATCCCAATCATCTTGCAAAATTAAAGGGTGGCCAGATAGCTAGAAACCTTATATTACGGCTTAAAAAAGATTTAAAGGTAACATAATGCAACCCACACTTGGCCATGGACACTTGAGCAAATCAAAATAAATGATATAGAAGGACAACAATTTACAGTTAAAAAGGTTTTACAAAGTTGGTATAAACCTACTGAACAATCTCATGATAACTCAGAAAAGCAGATTGAAGACCATATACCTTACAAATGGTTAAAAACAAAATGAGTTTTAAACAAGAAGAAAGATATTTTCTGGAGGCTAAATCATAAAGCACTTCTACTAGGCTATCGTCTAGTACATATTGACTAAAAACTTAGGGAACTGCCTGAACTGCCTCTATGTAACTCAAACAATAGAGCATTTTGCTCTAAAATGTCCACCTAGCAAAGTTATCTGGGAAACTACATATAGATTGCTTAAAGAAGCAGAAAACGATCCCATACCTAGTATACTCGAAGAAATCTTTCAAGCAACTAACATAAAAAATACAAAAAAAGAGAAGCTGCTACTACTTGGCTCCATATAATAACAGCTATGAAATTTGGTGCTAGTATACTCAAGCAAGGTAAGGTAGCTTCCTAATACCACAAGAAATGATTGCAGGAGTTATAAACATTAGACTTAGATATAAAATCAATCTTCTATATAAATTAGCTTATCGGAATCTAAATTCTAATATAAATATGTACTTTAACCTGTAAAAGTTAATTGGTGATTCATCACTCAACCAGAGAGAGCTCATAGTATAATGTGGTTTACATATAGAAATTAGAATTTTTGGAATGTGAGCTGCTTCTATCTAAAATATTTTTTGTACTAAGTTAATTACCTTTGGGCCTCTAATTGAAGTTGTAGAGCTCATCGAGACGAATCTAGTGGTGGTTGAATCGTCAAAATCGGCTTGGTGAATCACGAGATATCTTCGAAAAAACTTTTTACTGACTATGTAAAATTCTCTCTTTCGACAATAGTATCGCCAAGAGAATTTTACATAGTCGGCGAAATGTTTTCGAAGATATCTCGTGATCCACCAAGCCGATTTTGACGATTCAATCACTATTAGATTCGTCTCGATGTGCTCTACAACTTCAATTAGAGGCCCAAAGGTAATTAACTTAGTACAAAAAAAGTTTTAGATAGAAGCAGCTCACATTCCAAAAACCCTAATTTCTATATGTAAACCATGTCACATTATACTATGAGCTCTTTCTGGTTGAGTGGCGAATCACTAATTAATATATTTGTTATACTTTAGAATGAAATATAGATTTAAAGTTGGGCTGATAAAGAGAATTTGAGATATACAGTCTAATGACAAAGTCATATACATATAATTTTTAATTCTTGGTACAAGTTAAAGTATATTTAGTTTTTATATATATCAGCTAAATTCTATATAATTGCTATGATCATGTAGATAAGTATTCTTACTAGCAGGTACAAATTTGTTAGATAGGTTCTTTAGTTTTATAATTTGTACTTGAGATTTTCTAACTACCAGCCTGACTGATTTTATTAAATATCAGCCTATTATATAAATTATTAAAAACAAAATAAATACTGTATAAATTAATTTTAACAAAATATTACATCTATATTATAGCTCAAATATATACACATATAATCGTATTCAATATACTAGACAAGTTTAAATATACTATCTGCAACACAGCTTTGATATACATATGCAACTTATATAATTGTACCAAGTACAAACGTACGTATGTACGTACGTACATATTTAAATGTATGCCTATCACGAAAATATCACTCTGCAGAGGCTGTGGTGTAAACTAAAAAAAAAACCAGCTTTGATTAATTGAGCGTTGTGAATAAAATGATAACGATAAAGGCAAATCAGCCAAATATAGTATTACTACCAACCTAAACTAGTCCAACCAACACAGGTACATTAAGATCGTGATCGACGACTTTTATATGAGAATGGGATTTAAGTGGATTTGGAATTTTCTAGTTAGAGTATGGGTGTACATATGATAAAATCAACCCTAAAATGATGGTTTTATATAAAAATTCCGAATCCACTTAAATTCTGTTTCTACTTACAACGTACATATTTGGAAAATTTTTGGTCATATTTATGTACCATAACAATCTCAAAAACTGGAAGTAACATAATGAATATAGAATTTAAACTTCCCAAATACACTAGAATGATTATACAACTAGTTTACTAATACCTTTCTTGATGCAACGTTTGCAAGAAAAATAAAATTAATCTATAACCTGTTCCAAGCCTAACATAAAAAAGAACTACATTATGTCAATACTCTTCCTAACCCTAATCCCAAAAGAAATCCTTTAGTAATTACGAGTTATGATAAATGAAGTAAAACAATGCACAAAAATTAAATGAATTGAATAATCAACAATCAATTATCACTATACAATTGCAATAAATCTAGCAAGAAACCTAAACATCTTCCTTATCCTTACAATGTAAATAGGTGTGACTAGCTTCTTTACAAATTTTGTATGGAGCATTGCAGCTTCTTGAATTATGACCCTCCTTAAAACAATTGCGACATGTATATCTATCACCAGAATGAACGTTAACACTTGTCTTATTTTTGGAACTTTTTGAACTATTTTCTATGCATGCTTTCAATCGTTTAGTAGGTCTTCCTCTTGTGCTAGCTTGTAGAGGATTAAGAATTTGACTCTGATTTTGACTATTTGCAGTATTTGTGTTTGCTTGTTCTACTTGCTGAATCAAGCCCTGTAAAGTAGCCGCAATATGTGTTAAACGAAATTTAGCCGCTAGTGATGCTAATTTACGACCCAAAGCTATGTATTCGCTATAAATTTGTCGCATTATAATTGAATTTTCAATTTCAGAATTTGTATGATCTTGGTTTAAATTCTGAATATTGCATATAGAAGTTAAAGCCAAAGATTTAGCACTCGCATTAGTAGCATCATTATGAATTCCAAAAGAATTATAAGCAATATTAATCTCATTCATATCAATGTTCCTTTTGTACTATCGACTTTTTATTAGGGAAATACTAAATTTTGCAGTCTTCGTTTGTAGCATTACTTGAAAGAAGTGACGGCAAACTAGCCCATCACTAATTAAAAGTAAGCATGTGCAAACATGCGAATTGTCTTGAAATAACGCCACATAGTTAAGTGATGTTGTATTAGCTGCCATGTTTTTGACTTCCCAAATTTCAAGAATATTAATAAGACTAACGCGATTAATGATTAAATTAAGTACAATTTGGTGCTTGTTAGTAAAATCTTCAAGACAATTAGAAATATCAGAATCATCGACCTTTAAAAGTTTAAATATTAGTAATGTAGCAAAAAAACTATCTATTTGTATTAAATAACCAATCTTAACTTACCTCATTACAAGTTTCATATTGATTAGAAGTAACTAGTCTCGAACAATATTCAAAGCATATATCAATTTGAGCTTTTTGGATCCTAAAAACCTCATCCGTTAAAGTAGACTTCAAAAGCTTGACTATATCTGGAAAAACGCGAGTTGCGACGAAGACCCAATAGTAAAAGATAAATTTTCCAAATAGTCCCGATATTCTGCTTTTTGAAGTTCAATGAATAACATATTTTGTATTCCGTTAAAGCATTCCATTAATGTTGAATGTGAGTTGACATGTTTATGTATAACAGTATTGATAGACTCAACTCGTTGAGTTGAGGATATTCTAGCATTAAACTCCTAAAAAAAAACAACTTAGTTTTAACAATTACAGTTAGGGATTGGAATCAGTTTAGTCGACCACTATATTTAGTCGACTAGTTAACTAAATATAGTAGTTTACTATATGTATTTTTTAGTCAATTAAACCGATTCTGATCCTTAAGTTATAATCTTAATTACCTGAAAAGTATAATACTTAGCCAATTTCTCTTTAATTGGATATAAAGTACTTCTTAAGTATGATGAGGCTTCTAGAAATTTTACGCATAATGAATTAAATCGTGATTCAAAAATTTCTTCGAATAGAGTATTGCGACAAGCAAAAAAATCATTCTGAAACATAGAGAATTG